AAAAACGGCAATATTAAGGCACTTTTATAACCTTCCTTTGAAACTCAAAGCATAACTGTCAAAGCCTGAGAAATCCTGGAGGCTCCTGGAAGCTGACACACACCTCCTAAGACCTCAGTGAAGACACAGAACTTCCTAATAGTAAAACCATGCAGTCACGAAAGGCTTATCCAGTGAGAGCAGAGAAAGTGGTACTAAAAGAGCAAAAACAGCATCTTACAGGCTGGCTCCACCATCAGGGGGTCTATTGAAGCGGCAAAAGGAAGGCAGGCGGGGGCCTTCATCTCAGGAGCCTTGCTATACAGTGGAAATGGAAGGAAAACTCTGGGAACGACACCTTTATTTAGAGAGTATCTGAAATAAGCTCAAATCAAAGATTGGGAAGCATCTAGCTCATAGCCTGTCTGTGCCCTGCCCACAGCATTACCTGCAACATGAGAAACGACTGGCCCCATCGAAAGATGAGTAACCATCAGAGAGAGGCCGTAAGGGGACTGACTGTGCAGAAAAGCGGCAAATACCAAAAGCAAAAGTCCAGTGAAGAAAAAACATCACAAGGAGAAATTACCCAAGGAATCAGAGGAAGAACTGAGACAACACACTTCATGGACTCAAAAGAGAATAACAAACAAAAAGGTCTTTTTTAAGAAATTAAAAAAAAAGTTCAAGGAAGAAGTACAAGGGTTCAAATGGTATAGGACAGGATAATTGGAAGAGATTAAATTAAGTTGACAGAACTATAAAGTACTATAGAGATGAAAAGCCACTTCAGGAAGTAAAAAAATTACTAAGAATTTGACTGTAAACAAAGAAAAAAGGTTTCATGGAAAAGCAAAGTATGGGGAAAAAAGGTAAAGATGAAAATCATAAATATGGAAAGCCAAGAACAAACATATATTTTCAGGGTTACTAAAGAAGAGAACAGAACGAATGGATAATATACTTTAATTATAATTTTAAAGTCTGAAGACATAAAAACAGACTCTACTTCTCAGACTTTAAAGACAGATGCCAAGAAAACCAAAATAGAAGATAAAAACCAGACAAAAATCGATGAATTTACTGAACTTTGAGCTTACTAAAATTAGTCCATGGATATCTGAAGGAAAGCAAAACAAGAACAAATGAAAGACCAGTTGGTTTCAACCTTCGTAGGAATGCAGGACACCAGTAAAGCCAAGTTTCCATATTTCTGAGAAAAATAAGACAAGATGAAGTACCTTTCATAATTACAATGAATAATCAGAAGTAAAGGGTAATAACCTCAATATTAAAAAGGTAGTAAAACAAGAGGAGGGAAAGTTAGTTAGAAAGAAATGTCACCAATTTTCCCATCTTTCTTAGCAAAAAGTCAAAAGATGCTGTTTAAATTCAGTCATTTAAAGAAAGCAGAATTACCAGAACTCATAAAGTTGGGACTTTCTCCTTTTTACTCTTAAGTAACAACCTCACTTTGGTGAAAGGACATCAACTAGAAATTAATATATTCCTTCACTTTAAATTCAGTTTCTATTTCTCCCATTCTATTGAAAGAAAGGTGAAAAAAACGCTTCTTTAGAAATAGAAAGTGTAAATGCAATCCTGTTTTTGCAAACATGCCCCCATTACTTGTATACACACACACAGATGCTGTCAATAATTCACCAATGGGGGTGAGGTGAGGGGCTAACAGGGCTTTGCATGCTTTAATGTTTTTTAATGAGCAATGAATCATCTTTTCAAATGATGAAGCCACTATTCTACTTCAATAATTACATAATCTTTCTCAGCTCCCTGAATGTTATCTTGTTCTAATTTCCCAGATAGAAATGAGATACTCAAAGGGGGAGTGACTTGAGAGAAGCGTGACCTGATGCAGGAAGAGATATATTAACATGCGTGGTCCACCTACTGGGTCTGCATCATCATACCTCCTACTGATTTGGCTCAAAAAGAGGAAGAACTTTTAATATAATTACATGTGCCTGGAAATAGGATGACCCGCCACATGCAGCAGGACATTCCAAGGAGGTTGCAACATCCCGCTGAAGTAACCAACTCATCTAGGAGGCCACCACACACCAAGCTCATGTTAAGAGTCAGGGACTTTTGAGGGTACCTCCAACTCTCAAAATGCTTGACTTTAGGACATAGTCATACAAAAGAGTCGTGAACCTCTCTTATGCCTTAAAAATAATGTTCACTACCACACACACCTTAAGAATTTTACAACTTTACACTGTTTTCACAAATATGTTGTATTTTCTTTCACCCCCAAAACCGCTTCTGAGATAGGCAGGACAGTTGTTATTAGTTCCACTTTGCACTTGAGAAAAGAAGTCACCCGTCCAAGGCCATACAGACAGGGAACTGCAGAGCTGGGACTGGACAGTTTTTGATCTTTCTGATTCAATATTTACTTCCTAGGCAGCTATCTACATAAATGTTTGCTGACGACACGTTTCATTTCCACCAGCAGGGCTTTCTGAGCAACTGGGCCTACCTACCTAGTTCAAAGGGAAAGAAAGGCAGGATGCTGTTACAATCTTTCCATCCTGTGTGAAGGAGGAAGACTTGCACCTCATGGAAAAAAAAATGTAAAGAAACCACATTGTACATGTCCATCACTAGGAAATAACTTTTTTGGTAAACAATGAAAGCTTTCACAGAAAGGCTTGCTATTGCCCTCTTACATTCCAAACACAAGGAGGAGAAGCCCCCACTGCTGTGCACCATGGCTCCTCTGGGGTCGTCACCGAGCAGGAGTGTTCACGCGAACGCTTCTCATGAGAAGCTGCACGAGTGAGTGAGTGTGAGTGTGTGTGTGTGTGTGTGTGTGTGTGTCTACACCCTGGACGCCTGCTCTAAACCGGCTGCGGGGAAGCACTTGGTAAACGTCCTGCGATGGAGGGAAAACACAGGAGGGAAGCCAGGTTCTGGAGCAGACCCACGCACAAGCCACCGCACTCACAACGACAGCACTGCTGAAATGCGTTTCGGAACGCACAGACCAGCTTTATGTAGACATGTGTGAGCGAGAAATAATGGGTATTATACTCCCGTTCAGTGAAATACCCACGCTCCCTCCTCTCTAAACACTCATGAACTCATGAGTTATCAGCTATGAGGCACAATCATTTAGAATGAATCGCATATAATGTATTATAGTCATTTATGGTAATGTTTTTAGAGTATATCCTCAGGGAAAGTGGCACCACAATGATTCTCTTTGCCATCACCTTTGGTTATCATGAAATTAGTTACAGAACAATGACACTGTCAAAATGCATAAGTTTGCAAAGCTAACACTAATCCATTCAAACTAAAATTTAGTAACAATTGCACAAAAACATAAAGTGATATTATATCAACATCATACATTAGGACAGGGATAAATATACTTTCCATGATCACCAGTAAAGAAGGTTTCCATATTTACACAGGGATGAGCCAGAGAAATTTAAATTTACCAACTGTGCCCTATTTGTCTTAAACAGTTTGTGAAACTGTTTCACTTTGTAAATGAAATGATCAAAGGTGTGCTAGGTAAAGCCACCTTAACAACAGCTCATGAGAGCCAATTGCTAAACTTTAAGGACTTTTGCAAGCGACTCCTGAAACCTCTGAAACCAGCCACAGGAGTTTTACCCCTGAGAACTGATAAACTCCCCAGGTCCAGCCCCCCAGCCCCGCCCCTCGGGCTGGTTCACAAGCACACTGCTGATCCAGGTACAAATGCGTACACTGCCCAATTAATTCTCATGAAGTGCACCCACACGGGCAACACTGGGTTCAGGAGAAAGAACATTACTGTTATACCCAGAAGTCACCCTTGTATCACCTCTGAATCAATACTCCCTCTACAGGTCCGAAAATTGTCCAGGTATAAGCATGTTCTGAGAAGGAGCAATTTTAGCAAGGAGGAGGAAGAAAGGCAGTTTTAAGTGAAAAATATGACCTGCAAAATCATTTGTAAGTAACTTTGAAAGTAAAGGCTGGCAGAAAAAAATGTGACATGATGTACATTTGTTTAAAAGTAGCGGGAGTAGCCCTGACTGGGGTGCCCTGTAGCCTGGGCATCATCCCACAAAGCAATAGGTCACAGGTTCAATTCCTGGTCAGGGCACATGCTTGGGTTGTGGGTTTGGCCCCTGGTTGGGTTGTGTAGGAGAGGCAACCCATCAATGTTTCTCTCCTTCTTTCTCTCCCTCCCTTTCCCTCTCTCTAAAAACAAATGAATAAATGAATTTTTTTAAAGTACCAGGTAATTGGAGTAGGAAAATATGAAATTTTATGTTTTGTGCAGTTCAATGAAGAGTTACAAGGCAAGGCACACGCATGTACACCAGACCAGTTGAGTGTATAAACTTTACGCAATGAAGGTGGTTTAATATATTATAAAAATGTTACCTATGATTTGTGTATTAACATCAGTAAGATGTTAATGCAAGAAAGGAAATTTCAAATAACTACCACAAATAAAGCAATACCACAGGACTTCTCCTCTAATTCATCCTGGTACATGTCTGTGAGAAACCAAAGTTAAAATCCTTTCAAAATCATCCTACTCTCAAATGAAAGCTGAGATTGTGGTCTCAAAGAGAACAGCTTTTCACAGCAATCATATACCATATGGTGTTGGTATTAGGACTGTGCTTGTAGGAACTGATATATATTAAACAAAATCTGGCCAGGTTTTTTTTTTCCTTTTTGTCTCGTTCCCCACGATCAGTTGTATCAACTGGTTCGCCACTATCTGACATCCATTTAAAAGGTGATTCTCAAAATTCCAACGTAAGTTCTAGAAAATAAAGACAGGCAGACTTACACAAAAAAACTGTTTCTTACTCTCATAAATTTCTTTATATTTAAGGGATTAAAAACCAAAATTACACTTTACAAAGAGATGGGTGTATCTAAGGGTGTCTTGACCTGTCTCATATTCAGACCAAGAGTGCTCTAACGAGTCGCCAGGGGCAAAATAGGGTTTTCCCTGCACTGACACAGTTTGGTTAACCAACCTTTATTGTTTTCCTCTTCATATGGATATTCATTCATCCATTGGTGGCTGGAGTCACATTGACCCTGCAAGAAAAGCAGAGAAAAACAAACAATGAGAAAAAGTTCCAGGTGTCTGATAACATATTTTCCCTGGAGTTAGGGGCGGGGAAGAAACACAGACAATCCTCATTCTACAATCCTCTACACTCTTAATTAGTGGAGTGACATAAATATAATAGCTGAGGGATATTTTTTTCTTTCATTGCTTTGGTTTTTTGCTTGCTCTTTGGCCGCCATTTAAAGGGCAAAATGGAGAAATGAGGGGAGAGAGGCAGAAACACCAGCTGTGACAAACTGAGACAGATCTGGACGCACCAGGGAGGGAAGACGGAGGGAAAAACGGCAGAAAGTGGTTTCAAAGTAAACGGAATATATGAAAGAGGACTCACCAATACTCCAACTGAAAGCACTTGGCGCCTTTACTCCTAGCAACTAGGAGATTTCTAGCCATGCTGTGGCTAGAAATAACTAACAGAATACTTTCTGGTGGCTCCATAGTGGCCAATAACCAAGTCAAACTTTTAAAAACTGATGTAAGTTAATACATGTCACCTTTTAAAAATTAAACAACTATAAAGTAAATATTTATATGGTTTCTAAAAGCTTCCTCATCCCCAGGACCATGTGGATCTTCCCAAATACAATTAAATATCGTTGGACTGGAGAGTTCGGCTTAAAATGGACCTTCTGCCCCTTTTGGATATATCTTGAAAGTCCTTCTATTTGTTTTTTCTCAGCATTATGTAACTTGCTTCAGAATTTCCATTTCATGAGGCGAATTTTCTTTGGCATTCACTTAAGCCAGCTTATTAGATGCAGTTGATTTCCTTTTTTTTTTTTTTTTCCATTTGGAATTACATTGGAGAAGGGGACACACCCAGATCCTGCAGACAGCTGGTGCCCACATTCGTGGGGCCGGGCTGCCTCTGCACTGTCTCCACGCCCTTGACCAGCCACCACCGAGGCTCACACACTCACTCATCAGGCCCTAAGGAAACATGGCGGAACTCACAAGGTCCACTGGTTCTGCCTGGAAGGGGAACTGGCCTTTAACTTTACTGCAGCTTTAATATTTGTTTCTGTCTTTGTCTGTCTGTCTCTCCCTCTTATGTATGTTTCTTATGTCTCAAAACATACCTCCTCATGTATACTACAGATTTTACTACTAGAAATGCTACTACAAAGCAATAAAATATAAAGGTAATATCTTAATAACTATAGTGGCAGACTGTAAGTATTCTCTCGAAATCAGGAGTATAAGTCTGTTTTTATATTCTAAAGCCATAAAATGGAATCCCCTGAAAGAATTTAAAAGTCATTGAAACCAACATGTTCTCACCAAACATATATTGATTGTCCTTTCTAGTCTTCAAAATATATATAAAACAATCAGCTTCAACTTCTTGGCAGAATGTACCCGGTCTTTCAAAACTGGCTTCAATCTTACATTCTGGCTCCTTATATCTCAAAATGTGGTTGTGTTTTTTCCACATTTTAATATTCCATGAGAATTTTCATAGTATATTAAGATGTGAAAAAAAAAAAAAAAACTGCACGACTAGAAAGAATGTCCTCTCTAGAAAAGCTCTGCTCAGAAGGTGGGAACTGTGATGGCGGACCCAGCACAGGCTCCACCTCCACTGTTCCCGGCCAATCATCCTGCATTTAGCTGCTCTGGGAGGTACTGCTGGTTATTTCCTTAGAATGTCATTATATCATGACTGGGTCAAAATAACGTACATGTTTTTCAGGCTGTCAAAATATATCACCAAATTGGTTTTTAAACAGATTATACAAATTTATATTCCCACCAGGAGTAAAAACACATGCCATTCACAATGCCATTCCCAAGTTTGTTTCCCAGCATGCAGCATGCAGCCCAGCAAAATTTGGGAGACTGACACATGTTTGTGGAAAGAATAAAGCTAATAATGAGAAATGAAAGAAAAAAACAAATAAAGAAAATTCTCCCGTATGTCAAGTGTGAATTGTTCGTACCCAAGCAACTAGCACCTTAATTATATAATTTGTTGTTTTTAGGTACAATTAATCTGCAAGGCTAAATTAAACACTGTATTATTTGAACACAATACTGCACATTTCCACAGCATCTGTGGGTTTACAAAGTAACCTAATGATATCATTTGCTCTGAAAGCAGTTCTAGGAGCTGAGCACGTGAACTATTTTGAGATCCATTTGATAGCGTGAAGATCAGAGGTTAATTTTCATACTAAGGTAACAAGTTAGATGATGTCAGGGTTCTTACAAACCCCTTTAGTCCCCAAATCTTACGGCACAGCTCTTTGGGGTTTAACTTAAACAAACACCTCTGGAGGTTGCAAACCTGGCACAAGCCTGGTACAATGCTCGCTATCGTTTCCATTCATTTCATTGCCTCGAGAGCACTGAAGACCACCCCTGCCTCAGCAGCACCCAGCCTGCGCGCCTACACTGTAAATAACACCAACAAGAGCAAATGGAGACGGTTCACAGTTGAGACATGCTCTAGATGCACTTTTGTCATCCACTGGCTGTGTGACCTGAAGTGACTCACTTAACCTCTCTAAGGCCCTACTTCTCCAGAGCAGCAGGGATATCCACCGTTTTATCCACCCCCCCCCCACATACTCTAATGGAAGCAATGTCGACACAGCAGCCTGCGCCATCGTACGTGTAAAAATAATCACTCTTCAATGGACAACTCAAGTATTAAACGGCAAAAAATTCCCCTAAATTAAGACCTCAAGACAGAACAGACGAATCTCAAATTTTATTCACGCTAAGGGGCCTTTGTGTTGGTACTCAAACCCACACCCAAATCAGGCCATGATACAAAACAGGAAAGTGACCCATTTCCAGTAACAGGTAATACCTCACCGATTTCCTAATGAAAAGATCACTTAGCTTTGCCAAACAGGTTTGTGAAATTATCCAGCAAGTCTTCCTAAAGCACAGAAGTTTTAAAGGTCACTGTCCTCATCAAAAACTCATCACAAATGGTTTTGGTCCTCCCTTTCCTGGCTTCAAAAATAATTCTCCACTGTCAGGTGAAGAAGAACACAGGGTCGGTCACTTATTTCAATAAGAAAAACATGACAAACCAGAAAAAGTATAAATTATCACATTTTGGAAAGAAGTTTGGGTACACTTTTAAACAAAAATACTGCAGCCTAGAACCACTGATGAACGCTCATGTTTTAGTGGACAGTCTGGAGAAATTCTGGCTACACCTGTTTCTCTTTACTAGCTATTGTACAGAAACAGAGAACGCTTTTCTAAGGTCTTCATTTTCTAACGGCTGCTCCTTTGCCTGTAGAATTCCCACACATGGTCAGCCAGCTTCCTTTAGACTTTAGGAAGAGTTCCCTGGACAATAGAAATGACCTTGGCCAGAATGAAAGTAGATGCTCCCCACCTTAATGAATAAGGAATCACTCTGGAATAATTACCTCATAGTACAGGCCTTGTATTACCCTGTGGTAACAGGGTAACAGGGTGCTGGCTCTTCATCACATCTTACATGACCTGTTATTTCTCAATCATTAAAGGTCAGTGTCTAATACATTCCAAATACTTCAGGACCCATAGGTTTCACTAGCTGCGAGTTCCTCTGAGAATCCCTGTATCCATCTTTAAATGGAGATGGAGAAACACATTTCAAAGGTGCTTACAGACATCTGACTAGTCAGGGTACTCCACTCTCTGCACAAATGCAATTTAGTTGCTCTTTTTCAAGTGAATTGAATTCGGGTGCTGATACAGCAATTCCATTTGGAATTCTGTCGTCTAGACTTAGCTTTACAAATCACTGCTTCATTAGAATGATCTTGTGTTTTCAAATACTGATTTTTTTAAAGGCAAGTAATAAATTTTTATATACACATTCATTCCAGTTACCATAATTTTTAAAGCTGATGAGGGAACTCAATAGGCACTTAAGTCTGAGACAGTCTGCATAACAGATCCATGTTGGCCTTGCTCTGTAGCAAGGTTTCTGACATACAGGTTACCTTTTTTTTTTTTTTCTTGTAAAGTTCTCTCCGTTTTATCTGCCCTGGTGAATTATCTTGGGAACTAAAGACATTTGAAGGCTAATCTAAATATCTCTGTAGGTAAATGCAAATGTAAGCACTGCGTTTTCACCCTATTTTGACTTAAAATGAAAAGATACAAAGCAGAAAGCCTCTTGCTAGGTGACAGGTGACACTTCCAACTCTCTCCCCAACTGGAACAGCGTGAGACGTCTGACTCCTGAGAACAGACACATGGATTTCCATGGCACACACATCTTCCTCTATCAAACAGGAACCTTGTGTTCACAAAGTTTTTAGTACAGGCCACAGATGGACAGCAAATCATGGCTATAAGAATATCAGATTTTAGATACGCTTCTCACAATAAATAGGAAAGAACAGATAGTTTCTGATTTGGAGTACAAAAAACAATATTCTAACTAACCTCTACATATAAAATACACATAATTTCATGAATTACAACTACAGATTAAAGAGTGATCATTTTTAAGAATGTTCAAACTTTTAATAGATATCACTTGGATTAGGGTAGGTAGAGTCAGTCCATATAGAAACCCTTATTTTTATAACAATTAATCCAATCTCCATTAAATTTATTGACACAAGACTATCATAGCAATGATCTGAGGAATTAAAAAAAGGAAAGCATAGGAAACTTCAATACAGATTATTACCTGGACATATTTTACAACGACACACTTAATTTCTAGTATGACTTCCCTTTTGCAAGAGAAAAGGCCAGGCACACAGTTCCACCCCCTTCCTTTGACTTATTCGGCAATCCAGGTGACAATAATAAAACACAGAGAACTCTTTTCTCCCCAGAATTTCAGCATCTGCCCTGAATGAATGACAATCTCCATTCCACAGGAGAAAGCTGTGTGTTGTCATAGAAAAGATCCAGGTGTGAACGAACACCAGCTCTAACAGCTGGGGGCAGCGTGGCTTGGGACAAGTTGTTCAATCTCCACGTGCCCCCCTTCCCTCTC